GGAATTCAAATTTTCAGATGTCATCCTAAAAGCAAATAAATAATCCAGCCCCTGCTGTTGGGTTGATTCCAACTTGTGGAGACTCGCCATTGGATTTCCAACACTGTAAATCTCACAAGAACAGTCTCGTTTTTCTTCCATGGAAAGGCTAGTGGACTTGAACCAGTGACCTTCCAGTTAGCAGCTCAACAGATAACAAACTGTGTCACCAGAGCTCTTTTAGGTTCTACCCCAGGCTTTCTGATTAAAAATCTGCATCTTCACAAGATTCCTCTAGTGATTGCATATGAAAATTTAAGAAGCTTTATCTATAACATGCCTTCCAGCTCTAAAAATAAAACAGAAAAGTCTGGATGCCTGTTTGGCAAAGTCTAAGAATGCGACAAGAATAGACCTGGCTAAATCCTGATTCACTTACTTGCCTTAGAGTTAGGATATCTAAGTTTCCTCCCGAGAACGTATGGTCACTATAAGTTGAAGCTGACTTGACAACATTTAACAACAACAACAAAATAACAATGGTGGGAATGTTTGAACCTCTAAAAAAGCACAGAGAAGTCAGTCAATGTTTCAAAAAATCATACAGCATCACAGTGCTGGGCAAGTGATCCATTCAGCTTTCTCAAGTCTCCTTTCCATCAATCAACTTGAGACCTTCAATCTTTGTCTAGAAGTCTTTAGAGAAGAAAGTTCACCGTTTTCTGTGACAGACAAGAAACAAGAAGAAATGAGTTGCACGAATGAATATCTATTTTGAAAGAGCGCTATGGTGCTTGCTAATTCATTACATCTCACCAGGAAAGCACTCAAGCAGATCTTCTGTTCAAATAGGGGGGGAGGAAGAATGGGGAAGAAATCAAGCCCACACCCCACACTCATAAAGACCACACTTCACAATGATGGAAAGAGCAGAGGGCGCTCCTTCCAGGCTCTGGACTCACTTAACCCAAAACTGTGCTCTGTGGCCTGAGCTATAAAACCGAACAGAATGTGTTCCATCCTCTCTTCACAGAAACTTTTGGTGTCTTTTGGTGATGTGTTGTTTCCACCACAAAAGCAAGGAGAGTGATATTAGAGCTGTTGCTTGTTAAGAAAACATGTGCCCGTTACAGGACGAAATTGAAGTCATCTATCTTATTTAATTGATTTTATATTTTATTGCAGAATGTTAAAATTTTAATGTGCACATAAATCTGGTTCATACTCTCAGAGAAACGTCTGTATTTGGTACACCCTGTACAAGGAGAAAAGCAAGAGAAGAGGAAAAGGAATTCAAAATATACATTATTAAGTTTTCAGAAAGCAGGCAGAAGGATGCCTCATAAAAGAAATTAAGAGGGGAAATGGAAACAGCTGGGGTTTCTGATTTGTTTAGGAAAAATCCTGCTGATTTGAGACATATCCTTAAAGTATCAACTATTTCGTTGCAGGGAAAGGAAAAGATGAAATAGTAGAAATGGATTTATGACACATGGTCACTGGAGGAAAGGATGGCTGCTCTCTAGGGGACAAACATTGTGTCACATGCCCCAGGGTCATGGAATGAGGCTCAGTGTGGGACAGAGAACCAGTCCCATAGATCAAGCAACCTGGTATGGATTCCAGGGTGCCATCAAGTCTGTAAGAATCTCTGTCAAAGTTTGGTAGATGCTCTAAGCTTCATTGGCCATATGTGTAGAAGGGACCCAAGGTTTCATGGAGAAAGCACAGAAATGCTTTAGGTGAAGTGACTAGAACATAATAGGCAATTAATACTTAATACCAACTTGTTGTGGATTTCAACTCCTGGCATAGCAACCCTGAGTGTGTGGAGTTGTACCGCTCCACAAGGTTTTCCAGCTGTGACCTTGAATTAGAACTCTTTGACTTAAGTTCTCCCCATTCCTCTCTTCTGCCCAGAGCCTTTGCATTCATTCAGATTTCTCTGGTGGGATCTGTAAACACTGCATGTTATTCCTGGAGAAGGGGATACACATTTATTCTTACCATCCCTATTTCCACATCTTATAACTACCTTTCATTAGGTTCATTCAGCCTTAACACTAAAGGAGTATAATCTCTGTGCTGACCGTAGGCTCCTAGGTGATGGAGAAGACATGGTGGGGAGAGAGCATTTCTGATGCCCACAAGCATCTGGGAAGTGCTCAGAGCACTGGAGGAGGGATGAGTCCCCAACTCTCCTGTAACAAGGGTTTTAAATGAGTCCCTGGTCTTTGGAACCTAATCATGTAGATACGTGAGGAGTGGAGGAAATTCCCATGTCTAGTAGCTCAGTTCATGCCCTCTAGACAATGCCTGGATACTTTCCTCACACTTTATTATTCACCGGATCTAACAGTCTAAATAAACAAATCTGTCTTAGGGGAAGGGCAGCCAGGATGCTCCAGAGTGGCATGATATGGTGAAACTTTGTTTCACGTATCTGGGCATGCTGTCAGGAGGGTCCAGTCCTTGGAGAAAGGCATCACACTTGGACAGAAAAAGGAGATTTTTAATGAGATGGGTTGACACGGTGTCTCCAACAATGGACTCTGGTATGGCAGGGATGGTGAAGATGGTGCAGAATAGGGCAAGGTTCTGACCTGCTGTTCATAGGTTCACTACAAGCCACAGTGAACTCAACAGCCCATTGCTGTCAAGTTCATTCCCATGCACTAATAGGAGAATTACAGAACAGAGTAGAATGGTCACATAGAGGGTCAAAGTATGTAATCTTTAGGGAAACAGACTGCCATCTTTCATGGTGAGTGGATTCAAGGCATCGGCTTTTTAGTTAGCAGCCAACTACTTATCAACTGCACCATCAGATCTCCAGAGAAATGCTTCTCATTGAGGCAGTTCCTCTTATAGCAACTTACAGCAATCCTCTATCAAGTTTCTGAGGCTGGAAGTCTTTATGGGAACAGACTATATTAGCAACCCTCTATCAAGCTTCTGAGCTTAGAAGGAGGAGTGGCATCCACTTCCATAATAGCTTGCCTCCGGAAACCCTATGAACCTGGAGAGAGGATGAAAGGCACCCAAGCGTTGAGGACTCTCCTTCATAGGGTCGCTATGAGTCTCCTGTGACTCGATGGCACTTAACAGAAACAACAACATCAAGTTTCTGAGGCTGCAAGTCTTTATGGGAAGAGACTGTATCTTTCTCCTGAGAAGCAGCTGGTAGATTAGAAATTTCACCTTTTGGTAGCAACAGAATGCTTATACACGTTGCCACCAGGGTTCCTTAGGAATATGTCACTATGTACCATGGAGTTGGAACCGACTAATGACTAACCCTCTAGTGGGTTTCCAAAGAGGCTATAAATCACAAAGAAGGAGACTGTCCTCTTTCACAGAGCAGCTGGTGGATTCAAACCACAGACCTTGGTTTTGATAGCCCAACTCCTTACCAATAGTCTACTAGATTGTCTTCTTTACAAATGTAGTCAACTACTGCAGCCTTTGTTATGGATTATATATGAACACCAAGAAAACAAGACCACAAGACCAACAGTCAACATCATGATAGATGGAGAAAGGATTGAAGTGGTCAATGATTTCCCCTTGCTTGGAACAACAATCAACTCCGTTGGTACCAGCAGTCAGGATATCGAGAGATGTATTTCCTTGGGCAACTGTACTCTCAGGGACCTCTCTAAATGACTGAGGAGCAATCATGCCAGTTGGAAGACTAAGGTGTGTGTGATTCAGGCCATGGGCTTCCTAATCACATGCTATACACGAGAAAGCTGTACAGTGAATTGGATGATGGAAGAATTAACACCTTTAAGATATGGTGCTAGAGGAGAGTGTTGAATATCGCATGAATTGCCATAAAAACAAACAGATATGTCTCAGAGAATGTGTAGTTAGGTGCTCCTTGGAATGTTAAAATGGCAAGATTTGACTCTCATATTTTAGACATGTAGCTAGATGAGGCTATTACTTGGAAAAGGACACCATACTTGGAAGGGCCAGCGAAGGAGAGGAAGACCCCCCAAAAAGATGGATTGATACAGCGACTTCAACAATGAGCTCTAGTGTGTCAGAGACAATGAGGATGGATAGAGAAGGGTTCTGGTGGTTGTTCATAGGTCACTATGAGCTGTATTTGACTCAACAACACCTAATAATTACATGTAAGAAAGCATTTATTTCCATATCTAAAAACGTATCTCTGCCCTCATTAAATTCTCATTAGACACTTTCCCATCAATCAAGGCCGAATAATATCAAATGCATTTTATGTCATTCCAAATTGCCCATGGCTTTCTCTGAGTGCATCATAGACCCAAAGCGGTGTGACCAGGAGGATGTTAGCAGTCCTATTATACCTGCATTTTAATTGTTCTACATCTGGGGGGGGGGATAATTAACTTTCAGAACCAAAAATATCCATATTTTTCTTATAAGATTCTCAGGAGCAAAGTGCACTTGAAGGGTAGAGCTGGAGGATGAGTTGAAGAAGCAGTGATTACACCAAGTTTATTAATACTTATTAGGGGCCAGAAGGTGATGGAAAAGGCATGTCACGGTTTGGGAAACACCAGGAGTGGATTACCCAAAAAAGAGGTTATATTTACTTATATTTACTTACTAATCTATAGTGAACAGATTTACATGTTTCTTATCACATTTGTTGTTATTGTTAGATGCTATGGAGTCAAGTACAACTCATAGGTGACCCTATGATCAGCGGATCTGAACTCTGTCTTATCTGGTGCTATCTTCACAGTTTTTGACACACTAGAGCCCATTGTGGCAGTCACCGTGTCAATCCACCTGGCTGTGGGTCTTCCTCTCCTTCACTGACCCTCCACCCTTTCAAGCATCATGTTCCTCTCCAAGTAATAACCCCTCCTAACAACATGCTCAAAGTGTGTGAGGTGAAGCCTCATCATTCTTGCTTCCAAAGAGCACTGCGGCTGCACCCTCTCCAAGTCATAGGTCTGTTCTCTCGGCCATCCATGGGATGTTCTAACCTTGGGATCTGTTTCACTTTCAGGGACTCAAGGAACATGGGCGTTTGGACCCTCAGCACCAGTATCTTTCTAAATCTTTGGAGGAGCTATGTGTCTCCAAGGAGCACTGGGTGGATGGACTTCATCCAACACTTAGGTGTTTGCTGTTTTGTTGCTTTTCTTATGGCAAGCCTCCTTTCTGTGGTCTTCTACTGGCTTTTGCCACCATTCCTGGTGTTTACTATCTCCTGGATCACCACATGTATACTGCTCTACTGTTCCAAGCACGCTCGATGCTTCATGCTTCTCCTGTTTCTCTCCTGTGGCCTGCGCGAGGGCAGGAATGCTCTGATCGCAGCTGGCACAGGGATAGTGATATTTGGGCACGTGGAGAATCTTTTTCACAACTTCAAGGGCCTCCTGGACAGCATGGCTTGCAACCTATGGGCCAAGAGCTTATCCATACATTTTCCACTTTTGGAAAGGTATATTGAAGCTATTCGGTGGATTTATGGCCTTGCATCTCCACTAAGTCCATTCAATGACCTTATTTCGTGGAACCAGACCCTGGTGGTCTCTCTTTTCAGTCCCAGTGAAGTGGTGAAGGCGCAGCTAAATGACAGCAGAAGCGAAGTCCTGCTTGTGATGTACCGAATGATGACCACCGCCGAAGTGCTGTCCTCCTTCGGTCGGCGGCTGTTTGCTGTCGTGGGGCTCGTGCTCGTCGTCCTCGGCACTGGTCTCTTCATGAAGAGATTTCTGGGCCCCGGAGGCTCAAAGTTTGAAAACATCTATATCACCAGCCAATTTGTTCAGTTTGATGAAAGGGAGCGACTCCAGCAGCGGCCCTGTGTCCTCCCACTGAGGAAGAAGGAACAGAAGACGTACGTTGTCGTCCCATCTTTCTGTCTGACTCCCAAGGAACGGAGAAACCTGGGACTGTATTTCATCCCTGTACTCACCCACCTCTACATCTGGGTGCTGTTCGCAGCCGTCGACTACCTGCTGTATCGGCTCATCTGCTCCGTGAGCGAGCACTTCCAAAGCTTGCCAGAGCTGGAGGTGCACTTGAAACTACACACAGAGGTAGGTGCCCATGAGCACTTGCAGCTTGTGTGGCTATTTGCTTGGCTGTTTTTTCAGGTCATAAAATTCTAAAGGCCAACGTTTTTGTTGGCAGTTCTAAGGTATAGCTGAGATGATTTTATCTCTTGACAATCCCATATGACAGGGTACAGCCCCATATGTTTTCTTGCCTAAAATCTTCATGTTAGCAGGCCGTCAAGTCTTTCTCCTACAGAGCTACTGGGTAGGTGCAAATTGTGGATGTTTTGAGTCACCAGACAAACACCTAACCCCTTGGCATTTTATTTGGCATATAGATGGAGCCCTACAGTTGTAGGCGAAATAGAGTTGAAGTTCTATAGAGTATGGTGCCTTTCTGAAAAACTTTCTGCCACTGTATTAGTTTTCTGAAGGTGCTGTGACAAATCTTCATAATGCATTCTCTCTCTCTCTCTCTCTCTATCTCTATCTCTTCTCCTCCTCCCCCCTAACAAATAAGTTCCAATCCAAAACTCACCCTCTGGTGGGCTTCCAAGCCTATATCTGGCTTATCTTTTTCATTGAGACATAACTGTTGTGTTTGAACAATCAAAGAAGCACAAGTTTCAGGTTAGCAACACAACCCAGTATGGATAATAAACTATTAGGTGGCTTTAAACTGCAAAATTTCATTTTGTCACAGTTCTGGAGTCCCGAAGTCCAAACTCAGAATCACTGGGCTGAACTCAAGTTGCTTGCAGGGATGTACTCCCTCCACAGGCGCTAGGGGGCGACTCTATTCTTTGCTTCTTCCAGCTTCCCATGGTTCTGGGAAACCTGTTCTATTAATTACAGTTACCCTGTGGCTGTTCAGTCCATTGCATCCATTCTGACTCAATGAGTCCATGTGACAGAGTAGAACAACCCCCTAGGGTTTGCTTGGCTGTAGTCATCACAGGAACAGATCTCCAGGTCTTTGTCCCCACAGAGCCTTTTAGTGGGTTCAAACCACCAGTCTCTGAACTAGCAGCCTAATGCTTTACCATTGTGCCACCAAGGCTCCGGGCATGAACAAAAAACCTACGCAAACACCAGTATATTCGGACTCACAGTGACCCTCTATCTGGTTTCTGTTTGTCTCCTGGGGACCGGACCACTGACCCTTCAGATACTGGCCACAAGTAGCATGCTAACTCCAACAGGGCTCATATTTCAAGACTGATTCCCTCTCATCTTCAAATTGGTGTAAGCAGGATTTGAGCCAGGCACCTTCTATGAATGAGAAGTTGTACACATTCTGAGTCTTAAACATCAACATAGAGGGGTATGTAGGAGGAAAAGTGCTGAAAAGTCTCCTAAATAACTGAATAGAATAGGCTGGCACTAGTACCAACCAAGAGCGCTCCTATGTTCTAGCGCTAAGAAGCTGTGCTGTGATCTCTAAGGCATGCACGGTTCAAATCCACCAGCTGCTCCACAGAGGGATGGGCAGTCTCCTCCCACGCGATTAACTGCTTCTAAAAATCCACTGAAGGGTCAGCAATGGGTCCGTCCTGACTCCACAGTACACAACAACAGTAGCAGGTAAGGAGCCGTGGGGCTTTAATATGCTGTGTGTTTGACCTCTAAGAAAAAGATTAACTGTTAGAACCCACTGGATTCTCTGCAGGAGAAGATGGGCAAGCTCCTCCTGTAAAGATTGGTTGTGTTGTTGTATGCTGTCAAGTCAGAACCAACTCATAGCTGACCCTCCAGCTGGTTTTCAGAATTTCTAAATTGTATAGGAGGAGGTGGTCATCTTTCTCCCCAAGAGCAGTAGACGGATTTGAACCACGTGCCTTTGGGTTGACAGCACAACACCTTTCTACTAAGCCCCAAGGGCTCCGTAGACACCACCAACAACAACAAAAAAATGTGAGCATTTTAAACAGAGGACTGAGGTTTTCCAGCCACTACAGCTCTCTTTCTGTTTCAAAACAAGGCTCTACTTCTGCTAAAATGGTACCCAGCTACCTTTGTTCTTTTCTTCCTTTCTTTTTGGTAACTTATTTCAATGTTTCTCATCCTCATTGCTATTATTATTGTTAGATGCAGTTGAGTTGATTGCAACTCAAAGTGACCCAATCTATGTAACCAGATGGAAGCATTGCCCGATTCCAACTCATCTCTGACACGCTCAAACCCATTGTTGCAGTCACTGTGTTAACCCATCTCTTTGAGGGTCATTCACTCTACTTCACCAACTTGCTGCCTTTCTCAGCATGGCCTTCTCCAGGGCTGACCCTTCCTAATAGTGTGTTCAATCAAGGTTTGTAAAATGAGGTCTTATCGTCTTTCCACCCGGGGTACACTCTGGCTAATCCTCCTCCTGACAGATTTTTTGTTCTTTTGGCAGTCCATGAAATAGTCAGTACTCCTACACAGTACCACAATCCAAAGGTGTCAATTCTTTTTCAGTCTTCCTTATTAATTTTCTGACTTTCATTTCCTTATGAGGCTACTGAAAACGCCATGGCTTTGGTCAGACACACCTTAGTCTTTAACTGAGTCCTTGCTCTTTAGCACTTTAAAAAAGTTCTTCACAGATTTTCCCAACTGCTACTTCTATTAATCTCCTGGGACAGAGGCTGGGGTTTAGGGCTCAGCTGGCAAAGATTTTGTTTTAATCTTTGAGCATTTTAAAAAATCAGTTCAGGTGATTCTAAAGTGGGTAGTCTAGTAAATCAAACTTTAAGAAATCCAGAGCACTAGACAGCAAGGTCCTTCCATCCCAGTGATCTACAGCATTGAGCTCCATGTCCTCGCTGGAGAACCAAGCAAGCTAAGAAGCAAGACACAAACTCCATATTTGGCTCTGACTCTCCAGGGATTCACATTTATTTGGACTAGAGGGAAGGAGATCTGGGAGGAGGGGAGCACTGATGCTGGGATCTGATGTGCAGCCAAGATTGAGAACCAGCGTCCTTATCCATCCCCCAAAGGGTAGAACCAGGGGTTTCACCTCTAAATGCCAGAGAGTGATCTGTGAAAATCTTAATTAGCCAAGACAGTCTCTCTCTGAACTAATGCCTCCTGTGTCTTGAGGAATCTGGCTTTCTCTCCTCTATTTTTTTTTCTCTTCTCTTTTCTGTGTTAACAGAGAAGTCAGGGGTGGGGTGGGGAGGGGTTTGATCCTATCTTTTTTCTTTTCCGTTTTTCCTTGTGCTTCTGTTGGTATTTTAGATGGTTTTGACATTTCTATTCTTTCTCTTTTTCTTCTTTAAACCCAGAGAACATGGCATGAAACTAACTAAAGGGGTGTGTGTGTGTGTGTGTGTGTGTGTGTGTTTGTATGCACATTGCAGGCATACTGGGGTAACATGCATAAGAAGGCACTACATGTTTCTGATAATCCTCCTTTTTCAGTTGCAATAGGCTGTTCTGAGGGCTGGAGACATCTTAGTGGGGAAGCTCCTGGAATGTGGCCTGTAGACCCTCCTTTGAAATGCCACTTTCCATTTTTCTCGTTGTCTCGAGGGGCCTGCATGCTCCTGCTTCATCCACACATTCTCTCGCCTTTTATTCTGCCTCAGCACATGCAGCTTCAGCTGCTCCTCCCAAAGCTGGGCTACTCTCAGCCTTGACTACTCAGAGCACTCTGCTTCCCCTGAAGAATTCCCTTAATTACAAGACACCCTGGTGCTCTAGATTATTTGGAGCAGGTTGGATAATGGAAGCAGTACTTCAAACGAAAGCCAAATGAGAATTTCAAATGTGCAGGATCTTGAAGGATGACTGGTATCAAGCCCTTCCCCCCTCCCCATCCTCCTCGTGTATTCTTTGATGCTGCCCGTTTCATCTCTCCCTTCTTCTCTTGTTTGTTTCCCTGTCATTGACACAAGGAGCCCTGGTGGTACAACGGTGAACCATTTGACTGCTGGGAGAAAAGTCGAGGGTTTCGACAAAGACCCAGCGATCTGTTCCGGTAAAGATTTCAGCTCTGAAAATCCTGTGGGGCTGCTCTGCTATGTCACAGGGGATCACTGTGAATTGCAATGGACACAATAGCACCTATCACCAACAGCTTACTTATTTATTTCAGTCAATACGCATGTCTGCTTTGTGAATTCTTTTTTGTTTTGAAAGGGAGCACAATTCATAGCAACACTATGAACAGATCTGAACTCGGTCTTCTCCTGTGTCGTCCTCATTTCTGACATGAGCCCTTTGATGCAGTCACTGTATCAATCCATCTTGTTAATGGTCTTCTTTTCTTTCACCTATCCTCCACCTTTCCAAGCATGATGTCTTTTTCCGAGGAATAGCCTTTCATAACATGTCCAAAGTAGGTGGGATGACACTTAGTCATCTTTGTCTCCAAAAAGCATTCTAGCTGCACTTTCTCCAAGACCTATCTGTTCTTTTGGTCCATGGAATACTCAGTGAGAGAGAAAACGAAGTTCTGTCTTGCATGAAATAAAATTTAAAAGCCCAGAAACTTTATAAAAACAATTTCCTGAAACCTTCCTTTTGGGACATTGCTAGCTGTTGGGGACGCAAAGATGGCCAGACTGTGACTGTTGCCATGAAGGAACTCACATTATGGTGAAGGAGACTCTGTCCACAAAAGTGACTGTAGGGACAAGGCAGTGGAGCAGATGTTGTGAATAGAAGATACTAAGGGACCGTCTCTCAAGCTCACTTCTGCCCAAGCTGAGACTGAGCATGTGCAGCCAGTGCCATGTGACTGGTGGTGCCCTATCTACTCCCAAGATGCCCTTGGATACTCGGTCTTCTCCTTTGCTACAGACTTGCAATGAACGCAGGCCGGAAGAGAAACAAAACAGGTTTTGCCAGTATTTATCTTCAATTTTTGCGTGATTTGAAAAATCACGCAAAATATTTTAAAGGAAAAAGACTATAACTTGAGTTTTGCTGGCCAAATGAGTAAACGCAGTAAGGAACCAGTCATACTTGTTTATTGAGCACCTTAGACATGGCTGGTGTTGGACTACAAGAGCTCTTCAGGAATCCAGAAGGATACTGTAGAGTATGAGACTGGGCAAGCTGAAGAGTCTGTGTGCTTCTTATTCAAGTTCCAGGATTTACCAGCCATGTGGCTCATGAGCTAGTTATCCTCTGAGAGGTTCAGACCCCCCATCTGGAAAACAACAACAGTAAGTATGCCTACCTCAGGGGCAAGAAGTGGTGATCTGTGCCCATAAATCTTAAAAAACTGATGCTATCAAGTCAATACTGTCTCGAAGGAACCCTAGAGGGCAGAGTTGAACTGCCTTAGCATGTTTTCAGTGTTGAAAATTGCTGTTTCCATTCCCAAGAAAGGTGACCCAACAGAATGTGGAAGTTATTGAACAATATCATTGATACCACATGCAAGCAAAATATTGCTGAGGATCATTCAAAAATAGTTAGAACAGGTACATTGACAGAGAACTGCCAGAAGTTCAAGCTGGGTTTAGAAGAAGCTATGGAACCTGAGATATCATTGCTGAAGTCTGAAAGATCCTGGCTGAAAGCAGAAAATACCAGAAGAATGTTTATTTGTGTTTATTGATTATGCAAAGACATTTGACTTTATGGATAGTAACAAACTATGGCTAACTTTGAGGATAATTTAAATCACAGTACACTTAATTTTGCTTATAAAAAACAAGAACAACATACCTAGCCAAGAAGCTATTGTTCCAACAGAACAGGGGAACACTGTATGGTTTAAAACCAAGAAAGATATGCTCTTTCGTTAGGACTGTATCCTCCCTCTAAACCTATTCCATCTCTATACTAAACAAATCATTCTCGAAGCTTGACTCTATGAAGAAGAATGTGATATCAAGATTGGAGGAAGACTCATCACCAACCTTCATTATGTGATGACATAACTTTGCTTGCCGAATGTGAAAGAGGACTACTTAAAACACTTGTTACAGAGGATCAGAGACTTTAATATGGATTACATCTTAACATCAAGGAAACAAAGATCTTCACTACTGGCCATGGAGAAAATATTGAAGTTGTCAATTATTTCATCTTGTTTGGATCCACAAGCAACACCATCAGTACCTTCAGTAAACAAATAAAAAGACATGTTGCACTGGGAAAGTGTACTATCAGGAAGCTCTCCAAAGTACTGAAAAGCAATAATGTCAGCTTAAAGACTGAGGAGCATTTAATTCAAGCCATAGTCTTTCCAATCACCTGCTATGCACCTGATAGTTGGACAGTGAATAAAGATGACAAAGGAAAGATTGATGTCTTTCAGTTGTGGCTTTAGAACAGCATGTAGAGTGTCCACGGACTGCCAAAAGGGCAAACGTGTGGGTTTTGGAGGAAGTGGAGGCTCCTTGGAGGCAAGGATGGTGAACTTCCTATCACATTCTTTGGGCATGTTCATAAGAGGCTATTTCTTCAAAAAAAGAATATCCTGCTGGGAAAGGTGGAGAGTCAGCAAAAGAAAGGAAGGCCTTCGATAAAATGAATTGACACAGTGGCTCAGCTGTGGGTTCGAGTACAGCAGAGATGAGGATGGCACCACGTCAGATAGATTCTGATCTCTTGTTCACAGGGTCACTGTGAGTCATACTCGAGTGCACGTAACAGCAGCATATTGTTACATCTTTCTCCCACAGAGCAGTTGGTGAGTCCAAACCACTGACCTTTCCATCACCAGCAGAGCATTTAATCACTGCATCACCAGGACTCCTTTCCCCCAGTTAAAGACTGTTCACACTTAAAACTCAAACTCACTTCCTGTCACCTGAGATCTAACTCACAGTGACCTTCCATTCCATTTTGTTTTTCAGGTTGAAAACCTTAAGAAGGGGTCTCTCCTTATTCTCAGTTGGTAGGAGCTGATGGATTCAAACTGCCAACCTTTTGGTTAGCAAGGTGACAGACCATGCAGCCTATAAAATCCAGGGAGACAATGCTCCTCTGTTACACAGATCTCTCTGAGTCCAAACCAACTGGAGTCCAGCTAGCATCAATCACATGCCTGTACTGTAGGGCTGTCACGTAGGCTAAACAATCTACTTCACATAAAGTACTGAGTTACAAATGAGTTACATACGCTGCCCAAGGGAGCAAGCTGGGATCAAACCCAGGAATCTTTATGGAAGCAGACTTCCTCATCTTCATTCCTAGAGTATCCAGTAGGTTCAGACCTCCCACCTTTCAATTAGCTGCTGAGGGATCAACCATCGCACCACTAAGGCTTCTCTTTAAGACTTCAGGATATCATTTAATGTCCTGCTCAACATTTTTTAAAAGAGCTTAACTTGTCTTGTGCTTTGCCCTCAACCAGTATCCTACAAATCTGTTGACTCAACCTTTACAAAAACCCCAAGTCTCAACTGCAAAATCCCTGAGTAGATTCCAAGACTAAATAACTTCTTTGTAGACTCAGCCCCTGCTGCTCTCTTATTACAGGATTTCTCATCACTGACTCAATCAATGTATTTGTTTCTTCAATAACATTAAAAAGATTGTGTTCCTTTGCTCTGGGGACATATATCTCTTGGTTTCTTTGTGGGAAGACTGTCTTTTTAAGGAGAGAAAAGAAGCAGCAACAACATGCTTTGCATTCCTTAGGTACGGTGCTAGGGAACTGACAGATGTGCCTTGACATGAGTTCTGAGACTCCAATTGGGGATTTCCAGATTCTCCCCAGGCCCTGGATAGACTTGAGGGACAAGGAACACCTTGTCCTGGTGTCTGGGTGTGGTTGGGCTCTTTGTAAGGAGTTCTTTTCCGTTTGCTGGTCCCAGGGCTCAGTGACTCAGGGGTGATAATAACTTACTAAGTACTCTGGTTCTGTAAGGTTAATGCTCTGTCCCCAAGGTGCTTAATTTTCGCTGGGAGTAGTTTATTCATGGGCAGGATTTGGTCCATTAATTCGTGTTTTACCAAATTAGAAAACAAATCCACCGAGAGATTAAATGACTTTCCCAGGTCAGGGGAAAGAAAGCTGAATCGACACACACTTCCACTGCTGGTGTAGCTCGGCTAGGTGGCTCAATGTCACCTTCTGTCCTCTGTCGGTCCTGCTGAGGGCAACTGGCTTGATCTCAGGCCTCCAGACAGGAAAGAATGCATTCCTAGAGCAACCAAAAGTGAGGAGAAAGTGTCTTATTTTGAAGATCTCACCCTTCCAAAATAATCACAATTTTAGAGTCACCTTAAGGAAGCTATGTTTTCGGGTGAACCTGTCAACTTCAAGGAGGTAACAAGAAGTACTGTCCCTGAAGTGTTCCAAATGAGCCCTGGTAGCTCACAGGATTGATTACATGTTAGGCTGCCAACCCAAAGATCAGCCGTTCGAATCTACCAGCTGCCCCTCAAGAGGAAGATGTGACAGTTTCTTATTGGAAGGGTTTGCAGCCATATAAAATTTAAGAGGCAGCTGTCTCACAAGATTGCTATGAGGTAGAATCTACTTGATGGCAGTGAATTTGGTTCGAATATACAAAACCAGGAGCCTGGTGGAGCAAAATGGTTACATGTTCAGTGCTAACTGGAAAGTGCATGGTGCACTGCCAAACCTAAGGCAACAGTTCAAATCCACCTCTGCGGAGAAAGAGGAACAATCTCCTTCTGTGCTGTTTACTGCCTTTGAAAACTTGCTGGAGGCTCAACTATGATTCAGTCCTCACTTGACGGTACCCAACAACAAGAAGAAACTCTTCAGGTGAAGTATCTGGCAGACTCTTCTCCTGAAGATCATCGTCCCGATGACTCTTTGAGGCAGGTCTGCTCTATTGTAGAAGGTTGCTCCAAGTGGATATCAACTCCATGGCACACAACGAGAACAAGTGCGAGAAAGCTTGAGGAGAACAGAGAGCGCCGTCCTAAGATGCTGCACTGCTGGTTCAAATCCACCAGTGGCTCCTTGAGAGAAAGACGGCCCATCTTCCCCTGCGCAATTTACAGCCTCAGAAACGCAAGGGATGGTCAACAGCCCTGAGTTACTTCTGATAAGGTGGCAATGTAGTTTAAATATTTCCATTACCTTGTAGCTTACTGAAGGGGGGGATGGTCTGTTCTCACTGAAAGTTGTGACTGAGTCTTCAGAGACTATTCTACAAAGTAATCTTCTCCCTAAGTTGAGCTAAGATTATCTTTCATTAGCCCCATGTGTCTGAAAGTATAAAAATAGAGGTTCCATGAAAATACATTATGTGATCAAATTTGTTAGGAAAATTACTCGCTAAAATGAAACGTATATCTCTATTTCAAGACTTCTCAGAACCTTCAGTAATCTAACAGGCATTATGACCTCCCAGGAAGACTAGAGTAAAACTTATCTGATATCTGATGGCCTACTGGCAAGAAGCTGCACTGCAATCCGGAAGGCACATGGTTCGAATCCACCCGCAGGAAGAGGATGGACAATCTCCTCCCCTGTGATTAACTTCCTCTGAAAACCCACCAGAGGGTCAGCTATGGGTCGGTTCTGACTTGACAGTACACAACAACAACAATCTTATTTTTAAAAAAAAAAAAATTGCAAAAATCAGAAGCAACCTTGCCCCCCACGAGTTGGCTTCAACCCATAGTGACCCTTTACCAGGTTTTCTACTCTGTAAATCTTAAGGGGAGGAGAGACTGCCCACCTTTCTCCCCTGGAGCACCAGGTGGATTTAAACTGCTGGATAGCAGTGTAACACCCTACAGATCGGGCTCCCAGAACTCCTTCGAAAAGACTCTGTAGTTATAAACAAAACCCATTTCTTCTTCTTTGTTCCAGGTGAAAAAAAAAAAATAAGCTGATCTCACTGTTTGGACAAAGCTCTTTCCTATCTCAGGATAAATGCTATGGATTCCAGAACAGTATTGAGAAAGATAGACACTGGGTTTTAAACAGTATGTATGGATCTTGATTTCTTTCTTGTTTCGTTTAGGTACAAGGACCCAAAGGCATCATCAATGATTCATCTTTTCATATATCTCTGTTTGAACCCAGCTGTATTCCCAAGCCACAGCTCCTTCTGTCTAAGACCTGGGTTCCTCTCATGATTATTCTTGTGCTGCTGGTAGCATTGGGACTGTTGTCTTCCACCCTTATGCAACTTAAAATCCTGGTGTCGACATCCTTCTACCCGAGTGTGGAGAGGCAGCGCATCCAACACCTGCACACCAAGCTACTCAAGAAAAGAGCAGAGCAGCTGCCAGAAGCCCGAAGGAAAGGGAGTCTGTATCTTACAAAGGTGAGGAGCCAGACAGAGGTCTAACTTCTAATTCAGGATCGTTTTCATTTACAGGACAAATGGAAAAGACATTTCAAAGCACTATCCAGCCTCACATCAAGGCTTACATTCTCAGCAATGGATAGAACAGTTTGGGGGGTAATTAAGGGATGTATTATCTATGCTTGTAATATATAAGCTTAGTTGTAATTTCTTAGTTTCATGAAGACTTGTCCAGAGAGCCTACAAGATAAGCTTTTAAACACTGGTTTAAAGTTAATATGGTCAGTCACATTGCAGAGTGGGTACCAGGAGGAACTGTTTTATTAACAGGTAAAGGGAAATACCCAACAAGATTGCCTCTCCAGGTCAAAAGTAAAGAAATAACACAGAGAGTTGTTGTTTGTTGTTAAGTGTCGTAGAGTCGTAGGCAACACATGGCAACCCTTTGAACGAAAGTCCTCAACACTTGCCTGACTTTTATCCTTTCTCCAGGCTCATAGGGTTTCAGGAGGCAAGTTATTTATGGAAGTGGAT